ATAACGGTGATTATTACATCCATATCAGATGATTATCACACTCATATCACATGATTACACCAAAATTTTAATTTATCAACCAAAATGATAACCCAAGTGATGTATAACGGTGATTATCACACCTATATCACATGATTACACAAAAAATTTAACTTATCAACCAAAACGATAACCCAAGTGATGTATAACGGTGATTATCACACTCATATCACATGATTATCACACTCATATCACATGATTATACAAAAAATTTATCACATGATTATCACACCCATATCACATGATTACACCAAAAATTTAACTTATCAACCAAAACGGTAACCCAAGTGATGTATAACGGTGATTATCACACTCATATCACATGAGTATCACAACTAATCGATTAAAAACTTGTCCAAAATGAGTAATTGTAAAAGATACCTTGAATAAACTTCTTCTTGTTGTTCGATTGTTGCATGCAATAGCTTTTCTTTGATCGATTAGGGTTCTTGGTCAATTAGGGTTGTGTGTTCTTGGTCAATCACGGTTGTTTTGCGATTTGATGTTACGACTTCTCATTGAATTCTTAACCGTTTATTAGATAATTATAATAATGATTGTGTAATCGTGTTAAAATATTTGATAATATCATTTCCATTATTACCTTTTTAATTTTAATATTTTTTGAATATTTTTAAATTTCAATTTTAATTTTAAAAATCTTTTAATCTTATTTTTTTATCACAATATGAAGTTATTGGGTTATTCTCGCGTTCTCGTAAATCACAGGGGTTCTCGTTTGAACCCTTCCCTGCATACATACACACACATATATATATACACATACATACATACACATATATATATATATATACATACATACATACATATATATATATACATATATATATATGTGTGTGTGTGTGTGTTGTGTTGGGGGGGGGGAGACTATTCAAAAGAGAACTCGGTAATTTGTGATAACTATAAGATTCAATCTCAACCACAAATCAAAGGTTAAATTAGAAAATTAATAATTATAGTAATTTTAATTTAAAATATTAATTAAGGGAATTTTTTAGATTTTAAAAATCTCATCTCTCCTCTCTTCGGGAAACTTTATTCCGCCAAATCTTATTTCGACGAACCTTAAGTGAATAAAATATATACACTGTAATACCTATAAGAATATTGATAAAATATATTTATATATATATATATATACACACACACAAACGATATTCACTGTGATACTCATATATACATACAAGATGCACACTGTTATACCTTTTTAAATCAACCAAAATACCAATAATTCACATTGTGATATCCTTTCTAAGATAACAAAATGCATATTGTGATACACTTTATAGAACAATGAAAATAATTGTGATACATTGTGAAATTTATCACTCTGATACACTTTGATCCACAAACATGTTTAAAAGACAACATATATTATGTAATTAATATATATTAAGTAATCAAAATTAATCATATATTTCCTTAAAAAAATAATTAAATCTTTTGATAAATTGTTATAAATAAAATTACTCAATTACCCTTTTAACTTATTTAAGAAATATCCTTAATATCTCAAATGAGTAGTTCACATTAGATACCACTGTTATCACAAACTACATAATTCTCATTTGATTAGAACCCCTATATATATACTCGCAAATTGATCGTATTCTCGTTGGAACCTGCCCATATATATATATATATGTATGTGTGTGTGTGTGTGTGCGCACGCACGCTCGTGCGCATGTGTGTAGAGGCAGGTTCAAACGAGAAGGTGATTAATTTACGAGAAGGCGAGAAAGAATGTGAGAGACACAATCCATTAATTAAAAAAAATATCATAATTAAAAAAATAAAAAATAATTTTGAAAATTAGAATAATTATCATTTTAAATTAAATAAATCCTTAAAAATCTTATTATTTAACTAACTTTTTTATTTTAATTAATTAGTAACTTTTTTTTGATCAAGTTTTATATACAAAAATTAGATACGCTTTTAATAAAATAATTTTTACAATTTTCATCAAATATCACATGTGATATTTACGATCAATTTATATGTGATAATTCTAGATATTTTTGTTAATCATATGTAATTATGTAGATTTGCATTTATAGATCTTTTTGTAATGTAAATATTACCAGATGTGATGATACGTGATCACTTTTATTCAGACACGTTATCATATGTACAAAAATTCACATAATGGATCATATAGATCATATGTTAAATGAAGGTTTATCACATGTGATTCAAAACGTAGATCCAAAAATCAGAGAAAAAATTGTGAAAAAGATTATAAATTAATTGTAGATATCATATGTGATATTTAATGAAAATTTTGAATTTCTTTTTATCAAAGTATATACTAGAGAAAAAAAAAGTTATATGAAAGTTTATAAAATAATTATGAACTTATTAAATTAAAAAAATATATATAAAAGATATAATTAGATTTTTGAAGATATATATCAAATTTAAAATGATAATCATCCTAATTTCCAAAAAAATTTATGTTATTTTTTAGTTAATAGATTATATGACTCATATTTCTTCTCGTCTTCTCGTAAATTAGTTAGCTTCGCGTATGATCCTCCATATATATATATATATATATCTCTCTCTCTCTCTCTCTCTATATATATATATATATATATTTATATACAAAGAGAGGACGACCATACGAAAAATAAATTAATTTGTAATAAAATGAGAAAGAAATGAGCAACACACCTTATTGAATAAATGGATAGAGTAAAACACTATTAAACTAAATTAAAAATGGTATGATTGTCATTTGTGTATAACATTATACGTAACCATGGGCATAATCCATAATAAACCGAGATTTTGTGTTTGTTTTCCAAACGGGTTTCTAATACCATTTAATAAACCGACTTTATCACAAAGACATTTGTAATAGTTTGGTTATAAATTTTTATCACATACGATAGTTTGTTCAATAATCGTATAAATCTTATATTCATATTTGATAAATGTAGATATTTTTGTTAATTTATATATTCTAATGTATATTTACATTTATAGATCTTATCATGATGCAAATACTATCACCTGTGATACTACGCAACTTATACTCACATAAAAATATGATATGATAAACGCAACTAATCACATGTGATTTAAAACATGGATCTCAAAAATAGATTAAAAATTGATGAAAAATATAATGTATTGATTGTCGATGTCATATCTGATATTTGACCAAAATACCCTTAAGGGATGTACTTAACATCCATCAAGGTTAATTACCATTAGATGAAAGCAACTTCAAAATTCCCAAGAGTTTGAGAATACTATAGGGACAATATATGTAATTAGGAGTTGTTTGGTTGATTTTTTATTAAGCCTTATATGAATAAAGTTGACTATGTGGATTAATATATCTGTATAGATTGGGGGAGGTTTTCATAGAAAGAAGGAGCGTGTTTTTTAATTGGACGGGGCAGATTTGAAAAAATCAGGGACGAACCCAGAAACTTTTTCAAACGGTGGCACCATAATTAATATAATATAATATAATATAGATCAAAAAATAATTACAAAAAATATAGTTTTTATACAAATGATAAACAACTCTTAAACTTGTACCGACCATCTTTTGAAAACGGTTAATATATACCAAAAACTAATTACAACAAGTATGGTTTTTATAGAATTAAGGGCTATTGGGCTAAGCCTAAGGCGTTGTAGTTTGTTTGATTAATTGGGTTTGCATATTAGGCTTTTGATTTAGCCATTTGGGCTTTATTTTATTTGGGTTTCAGTTGCACGATTTGAGTTTCAGAAAAATACGGTTGCACCGTTCACAAACCTAAATTTTTTACCCTTCGGCGGATAAATAATACGGTGGCACGTGCCACCTAAGCCACCCCATGGAAAAAACTTGGCTTTCTTCATAAAACTCCCCCATAAAAGCTTACCGAATAAGCACTTTCTATATCATTAAGCCACTACCAAACAATCATGTATAACAAACTAAATAAGTTGTGAGTCCCGTTAAGCTCGTTAAATTGTTAACAAACACTCTTTGTTCCTCTTGTGTACAGTGCCTATTTGTTCTCCCTTTACAATTCAAGCTCTTCTCAAACTATTCCAAACTTCATTCTTCTACAAACTTTCAGACCCAAAAATTCTTCACAAAGCTTCTTGCAAGTCCATATCTTTCACGAAAACAACCTCTCTACTTATTGGAGACAAGGAGAAAAGGTCTCCACACATCCTACCCTCTGCAAACCAGGAGAAAAGGTCTCCACACATCCTACCCTCTGCAAACCGGCAAGAGGTGTACTTGAAATGGAAATTAGTTCAACTCTATCATTCCTAGCAACTCAAATAAACCAAAACAGTTAGTCTTCTAATGGAAGGCCAACCCTGCAAGAAATCCATAAAATCTGAAGGAATAGAGAATAATGAGCCTGGTGGTAATTTTCAGCTATAAAAACATGCCTAGGAGTCTGCTAATTTGGTCATTTTAGGGCCATGTACCTGTAATTTGTATGCCTAAACCATTCGTATTCAAAAAGCAGCCAACTTGATCTCACTAGAAATGAGTATGTTTCAAGTTCTACTCCAAAAGACATCAAATGTTCACAAGCATAACAAAATATAGCATGTTAAAAGATGTATGTGAAACTCTTTTGAATTCTATCTAAAAGAGCATGTTTAAAAAGAGAACACAGGTTCTTACATATATACTTGTTTGATGGTCTGTGTGTAGCGGATGAAGAACTCCAAGAAAAGCAATTAAAAGAAAGCATCGGTTGTCTAAGAATTGAGACTAAAGGATACACACAAGCAAACGAAATTTCAATTCAATCCGAAAATGCAAGTAGTAGCCAATCATCTCGTTTTTAGTGGAGTCTAAATGAACCCTCCCTGTAAACTTTATCGAACACATTAAAATCGAACCTTACTCTCTATATTTCCGATGTATTGATTTTACACAAGAGGGCTCAAATAGCAACTCCCAGCTAAATAATCTGTTTGCTATTAATAAGAAAAAGACCACTAGATGAATAGTTCTTGATAGAAGCAATATCCAATCATACAAGTCCCCTTCCACAATTAAATCCTGTTTAATAAAAATTTTGAACTTGGACTGAAAACAAGGAATATAAAGTAGAAACAACATATTATAATTCCTAAAGGTACTCCAAATTATGTTCTTGCAAAATTTGAACAGGAACTCGTAGTGAGTGACTGAGTGGTTTGTGGGTGTTTTCCAAATTCAATAGCAACACCCCATCAGGTAATGAACTTGAAAATTCAATAAAGCTAGAAGCATTAGTCCAAAGATTTTTCACTGCAAATTATAGATTAACTTACATTTCAAATCTACAATGTCAGTTAAAAGCTATGTTTTGTGAAAAGAAAACAAGTAATGTAAGTAGGTTTTTCTATAAGCATGGAGTACAATAAATTAAATAACACTACTTACCAACCTAATATGTCTGATTTTCTTCATTCATTTGAGAGAGACTCTCAGAATTTTGAAGAATTTCTTCACCAACTAGAGAAAACCCCCAAAATTGGAAGTCGTTTTTCAACGAATTGTGATCAAACCCAATGTTTTTGAATGCTTTTAGGCCAGGGGATTCTTTCTCGGTCTGCCTCTCTTTTTAGGAACTATGCTGCCGTCAGTTGGAGGTGCTGGTTTCATTTGTACCGACTGCTGCTGCTGGACCTGTGGTGGCGTTTCGCCCAAGGAATCGCCACCAGTTCCAGCCAGCGGCACGCTGCTGCCGTTCGGCAATGAACTGGCTGATGGCCAAGCGGTCCCATTAGTTGGAAACATCGGCGGCATCCAATTGGGCATCGTAGCGCTCTTAGTGATCTCGGAATTTGCCATAGCGAATCCCATCGGGAAATTCCCCCAACAGCAGTAATACGCTTCTTTTCCAGGCACAGTCGGCGGCAACGAAGCCGGAGGTATAAGCACTACCTGAAACGCCCGTTGACAATTTGCACACCTCAAACAACATCCCTCGTAAACCCTAGGGTACTCGTATAGATTATAACAGTAAGGACACGCCGTCCATATATTCGCCGAAGCTCCGCCGTCGGCACGTCTCACCGGAATCTTATCACGTGAAATTGATCGATTCCCGTCCCCTTTATCTCTCTCTTTCTTCATTGCGACTAGATCTACCTTCGAAAACGCAAACAATTCATTGTCATAAGCAGTTTTCCTCGAAGGATCCGACAACACAGCCCAAGCATCCGCAACGAGCTTGAACGCCGCATCGGCGAAGGCATACTTGTTCTTATCAGGATGAAGAAGAAGTGCAAGCCGGCGATACTGTCGTTTAATGAGATCAGCATCGTCGTTTCGTTGGCTTTCTAGTTGGAGGATTGCATACCAATCATTTTGATTCTTAATTCGTTTGTCACCGGCAACAAGGACATCAACAACAGCCAAGATCTGATCGGAGCCTTCGAGTAACGGCTCAGTTTCTTGAGCTAACTGAGCAAAATCACGAGCGCCGGTTAGATCTTTACCTTGTAATAGCTTGTCGGCGATTGCAAGCAGTCGCTCGGCTTCAGCTTTTCCGGTGGTTTGCATATCGGAGAGATGGTTTCGTCTGATCGGTGAAGACGTTGTGGTTGCGGAAATGATGTGTTTGTTCCCCCTCTGCTTTCTCGAAACAGATATAACTGATTTATGTACTTTTATACTCTCTTTTTTTTTTTAATGAATATATATCTATACTATATTATAAAGCGTTTGACAAAAACTTTTAAAAATAATTTTTATGAATGAAATATTGTTTATCGATGTATATTACTTAAAATTTAAAATTACAAGTAATTTTATATAAATACAACTTATTAAGGTTTCATTATTAAATTTGTGTAACTAACTATACATAAACATAATCAAATACAGAATAAACATTTGTTTTAAATATATAAAATCTAAATTATAATTAAGATAATCTTTGAGTTCTAATAGAATGTTTAATTATTGTCTTTATAAAAAATTATATTATTAAACTAAAAAATAAATTACTTTGTTATTAAATCTAAATTAACGTATAATAAAAGATCGAATTAAAGAAGTTACACAAAAAAATGGAATTATTAGATAGTTAATTTGATACTGATATCGATTTATTTTTTTCAAATTTTTATGTTATTTTCAAATTTATATTTCATTCAAAAATAAAAACATTATCGTTTTCTCAAAATCACATAAAATCGTATACATCAATAGAGAAGAATAAAAACTAAACATTAAAATAAAGATTTATCTCGCTGCATTGCGCAATTACTCTTTTAGTTGTGAATAATACATTCACGATGAATATGGATAAATTATTTATTATGAATCATTTGTACTATATTATAGATCATTTGAAACAAACTCCTAAAAACTATTTTTTATACATCAAGTACTGTTTATTGATGTAAATTACTTAAAATTCAAGATTACAGTATATGTTTGAATGAGTACAACTTCTTAAAACTCCATGTTTGAATTCATATACAAAACTGATAAATATCTTATTTTAAATATAAAAATCTACAATATAACATCTGTAAACTTGACACATGTCTTCATTTACCGACATTTTCGTTGTAACGTCTGTAAATTTGACCCGTAAATATAACGTCTCCGTAAATTAAGGCCGTATAATTTATTACTGAATAAATGCTATCGATGTTTGATGGATTTGGATATTGAAAATGATCAAATGATAAAAGAGATTCGATTTTTCAGAATTCATGTTGTGTTAAAAAAGTCAAACCAGGTTAATACTTATGATTTGAATTCTAGCAAGTGTCAAATGTTACTTTCGGTTTAAAGGGGTTTTGAAAATATAACGAACTAATACATATAAAAAAAATTGAGTGGATTGGTTACAAAACCCCTTCTTACTGTTTCTTACATGTACTATGTTTTTCTAGCTTCTTGTCAGATTTTTATAAAATCTCTGTCGTTCAAAAAAAAATACAGATAAAAAATGATGAATTGGAATTTATATTTATATTTTTTACTTGTGTTCACGTTAACACTTTGAGGGTTGATTTCCCATTCTTTCGAACTCTATTTCCGATTGATGCTTATTTTTAAACGAACGAACACGAACACAAAGATTTCCGTTCGTTTACTGTTCGTGTTCGTTCGTTTGTTCGGTTAAGTTAAACGAACGAACATGAACAAGACTCCGTTCGTGTTCGTTCGGTTCGTTTACAGCCCTAGTTACAGTGCCCATGTGCAAGGGACATAATAGGTATTTTGGTCATTTTAGTTCTTTTACTCTTTTTCTTATTTTCTATTGAGAACCTAGGGACCAATCATGTAATTTATATAAGGGTTATGTAACCTCGATCAAATCCTTTCCCGATCATCTTCTCTGATGAACCACCTGTCATCTTCTTCGATGAATTACCAGTCATCTTCTCCTACACACTAACGTCATCCTCTACCCAGTTTCAAACCCATTTTTAGTCATTTTTACATTGTGATCCAAACCAAGTTAAAAAAATCAATTCATTATCATGAAGATCTTTACAAGTTTCAAAAGCAAATCAACATCAAGATCGACAAATAAATCAAAAATCTTGAACTGAAATCAAATTACATAAAAAAACACAACCCTAATAACTCCAGTGAGATCAATAAACACACACAAGAACAATTTGTGCAAATTATCAGAATCCTTGAATTGAATTCAAAAAAAAAAAAAAAACCTAAATCGGATTCAAACAAAAAACCCTCAAAACTATTAGATCTTGAAAGTGAAAACCTAATATGTGACTTGATTCCTTTGTAGATCTGAGTGAATGAACGAACCCATAATTGTTTAGGTAAAAAATCGAATAGAGTTCTTGTTAGGCAATGATCGGTCTCGGAGAACTCCCCCCCAGATCTTCTTTAACGAGATGGCGTTTATCCAACGAGGAAGAAGAGATCGCAGATCTGGAGACTGAGATGGCGTTTTTCCAATGAAACTCAAAGAAATTGACGGGGTATCAAGTATCGGTTTTTTTCGTTTGAAGATTTAGTATTCGTTTCACTTCACTTTCACATTATGAAGTATGGGGATCAAAATGAAACAAAGTGCATTTCATGACAATTCCTGTCATTCCCTTGGAAAATCCTTTTTCCTATCTCACCCTAACGACGGGAAGAAAGTCTCATCAAAGTGACAATCCACAAACCTTGCAGTAAATAGATCACTCGTCAGGGGTTCTAAATAGCGAGTAATTGTTGGGGATTCATATCCAACATATATACGTAATCGTCTTTGAGAGTCCATTTTAGTGCGTTGTGGGGACGCAATTGGCATGCGTACTGCACAACCAAATATGCGTAGATGTGAAATATTAGGCTCATATCCAGTTACCAACTGGTACACATAAAATGGTTGGGTAGCAGTGGGTCTAAAGCGAATAAGTAGTGTTGCATGTAATATTGCATAACCCCATGCAAAAATGGGTAAATTGGTGTGCATAACCAATGTTGTGGCTACCATCTGTATCATTTTGATAATAGCTTCTACAAAACCATTTTGTGTATGCACATGGGGTACGGGATGCTCTACATCTATCCAATACACATTATATAATCATCATATGCTTGCGATGTAAATTCTTCAGCATTATCAAGTCGAATAGACTTGATAGGATAATCGGGGTGGTGATCCCTCAAACGTATAATTTGTGCTAGGAGTTTTGCAAATGCAACGTTTCGAATGGACAATGGTGCGACATGCGTCCCTCGTGCTGATGCATCAACCAGAACCATAAAATAATTTAATGGCTCGCATTCTATATGTTTATGTTCATAAATTACCTTGTATTCATTGTGAGAATGGAATATTTTTGTATTATATCCTCAGCTCTTAGGATGGTCTCATTCCTGTCTTGGCTAAGGATAAGGGTGCACAAAAGTTGTGGGTATTCAAGAGAGCATATTATGATGGTATGTTGCTTCTTGTACTGTAGAAGTCAACAGTTGCAATTTTGTCAATTGTCTCATTTTACATTTCACTCTAAAGAAAATGTGTCAATGTGTATTTTGCAACACATGGATCATTATGCCATGACCATGGTGTCCCACATGGTCGTATTGAAACATATGTGTGTCATTGTCCCAAAGTTCTTTATTGGCGACAAAATATGATTCAATGACCTAAATAATTCACTAATTTGACACGTTTATTTCTCTAATATATGTTCCTTTCATATCATTAGAGTTAATGTACATATATTCATTTCCATTCTCATAATATCATTTACAGTTGATACAAATATTTAACAAGGTTCCTATTAATATAGTGTTTTAGTAACTATTAATCTTGTACTAACAAGAAAAATGATAGTCCATTATCTAAGTACTATGGTGGGAGGAATTATAAAATAAATATTCGTTTATTTTTTAAGCTTGTGTGGGATGTCCCACAAAAACTTTCAAGTTTTCCTCGATGCATTTCTACACAGAACGGAGAATTTTGAGAGTTTTATATTTGTTTTCATGTATTTATTTACGTCTGTATTGGTTATATATTCGGTTTTACATCAACAAATGTAATTAATTTAATACTTCAAATAAATTTCAAATAAACTTATGCTCAATCAGTCTTAAATTAATATGATATAGTTTATTTTCATCTTGTTTTCTTTTCTGATATGAGCGATTATTAGTACATATTTTTCTTTTATTGTCCATTATTTTATGAACAGTAGTTGCATCTCTGCTTCAACGATTGGAAAATTCTTCTCAACTCTTGCCATGACCCTGATTCTTTCTACAGTCTCTCCACATGGTGTATAGATGTCACGTGTAAAAAATTGTCTTTAACTCACTATCCTTTGGAGTTGTTTTCACCTCTAACACTTTCACTATTGACCTTGGGAATTTTCTTAGTCTCAACATGTCTAGTGTTGTTATTCGAATGAACCTTGTTATATCTCTCAACCACTTGCAGTAGATTGATGAGTTTGTCTAAAGGTTATATTTCAATTTACATTAGTTCATTAATATTTAATGATTTATGAAAGGTGAAAATAATGTTATACATCATGCCATCATGTGAGTTGCTTGTCACAAAGATTGAGACGCTTTTTGAGACAACATTTTTTTGTTGAATATCAATTACCTTCTTGTAGTCGAGTAAGTGGGTTTCATTCCACTGTATAATTAGTTGAAAAAGTATATGTTCATGAATATTCTCGATTATCCCTTTCAGGATGTCCCACAATCTTGGAAGATTCTAGTTAATGATATTACCTATATAGGTTGTGACTGATGTGTAGTCTCAAAAATCTCAAGGTATTTACTTGTACCTTAACAATTGATTTTTAGGTTCAATAGATTTTGATGGGTTTTAAGTATATTATTGTACCTTTCTGACAAAAGTATTCTTTTAATTGGATATCCATCTATGGTACTCAAGTTCTTTTGAGTTTAGGACATCGAATCTCAGATAAATTGTTTCAACCATTTACATAAATAAGGGATAATATATGAACTCTTTTTTGTTCATAAAAAATTATGATGCACGTGAAAATTCATTATCATACCAATATTGGATTTTTGTATTTTTTTTTTACGTTTTATTGATAATACTTCATCAATATCTCAGTTTCTAGAGTAATCACTAAATTTCTTGGATTTCTAGGTAATAGGGGAATCACATGAATTTCTTAAGTCCCTACAAACCTTAGAGCTATTTACACCCGTTTGATAAAATCCTTTCGATTTTTACGATTTATTTAATTTTAAATATAACATTACTAATTATAGAGCTTTTGGCATGATGCCCAAAAAAATGAGTTTGACATATGAAGCAACTTTAATGTTTTAATACATTAATAATAACATTTGAAGAGATTTTGCTATTAGACAAATAAATATTTCGACATAAAGTCAAATTCAACATTTTAATATATCAATAGTATTTTTTAATCTTTTTGTAAAATACCGAAATATATGGAGTATGAAGTATAACTTATAAAAATCATTTATAAGATTGAAAATTATAAGTAGGAACTTATGATCAAGATGAACATTCGAACTTAATAATAACTAGAAGGGTACTCGTGCAATTTAACGAGATACATCTTATTTTAATATTTCATTTTATTCTTTATCTCAGTCGATGTTATAGTATGGTCTTATGTGATTTTGAAAAAATGATAATGTTTTTATTTTTGAATAAAATATAAATTTGAAGATATCATAAAAGTTTGACAAAAATATATCGATATTAGTATCAAATTAAATATTTAAACTTTTTATTTTTTGTGTAATTTTTAATTCAATTTTTTTAATAATTTAATTTAGGATTAATAACGAGTAATTTATATTTGGTTTAATAATATAATTTTCTTATAATGATAATAATTGATTATTTTGTTAGAACTTTATAATTATTCTAATTATATTTTAGATTTTTTATATTTTAAAATGAGATGTTTATCCTCTATTTGATTATGTTTATCCGCAGTTAGTTATACGAATTGAAACATATTTACTTGTAATCTTGAATTTTAAGTAATATGCATCAATATACAGTACTTCATGCATAAAAAATAGTTTTTAAGATTTTTTGTCAAATGCTTTATAATATAGTATAGATAGATAACAATCATTACAATCAAAATCATAATAGATGATAATAATCATAATCACAATAGATAATAATAATAATAATAATAATAATAATAATAATAATAA